CAATTAGTTCTTCAAATGTTGCATTTAAGTTAATTTTATAGTTTTGTGATATTAATAATGTTTATGTTTTGATATTTTTCTAATTTTGATTTAAGTTTGCTTGTTTAGCGTCGTCACAGTTGCTAGGTGACATGACGTACGCCGGGTAAGGAGGGGAGGCTAGACCGTCCAAATTCACAGCCTCTTTTTTTCCGGTCTTCCCGGTCTACCAAGGACCCGTTCCACCTCAACCGGGTAGTCTGGGTCCTCCGGAGGACCCGGCCTGTCGTTTTGGTCACAGCCAATGTCACGAACTTGTGGCGACACATCCTGTTTTGATAACCGGATATTTCAAAATAAAAGTCTGATTTAATTCAGTTCATTTACAAAACAATCTTTTGCGTGGGAAAGCAAAACAATTTTGCGAGGTAACGCAATACTATTGCGTGGGAACACAAAAGAAGAAAAAAAATCTCCCCGTGTTCCCTCACGGGCTCCGTACAAATCTAAAGCACCTGTGAGTTTTTTTTAAGTTTGTAAAAAAAGAGAGAAGCAGATAATGTGTTTATCACGTGGCAGAGCAGGACTTTATCTCTTCATCAGCACAGAAACTATTTGTTTGGCCAACACAATGACAGCCAAGGAAGATTTGTCAGTTGAAAACAGTTAATAAAGTTTTGGGAAACATTTAACTGACTCTGACCTGCTGTATGGTTCTGCAAAACACGGAGCAGGATTCTAAAGAAATGTGCGTTGTTATCTCATGTCTGCAGCCAGATCTTTGTAAATTAGAATCACGGGAAGTGGAAAACAAGATATCTTAMAACATATCGGTCACGCATCACTTATTTTTAGTTTTTGACTTATTTTTAAGCTTTTAGGGAAGGGAGTAAAACCATTCCACCCTGTCACCCTCTGAGCACAAGGGAATTAGTCAGCGGTGACATAACCTCCTTTTATGAGATCTTTAAGAGCCTGAAGCCTTCAAGTTGTTGAGAAGTCTATGCATAAGTCCTACAAGCCATCTGTGCATATGTCTGCTACTCTGATCAAGCATGCGGAGGTTTGTTGACGAGGTAAATCATTTTAAGTCGGAAGAGCCTTTAGACAGCCTGTCCATCTCAGGGAATACACAGATCCCCATAAGTCAGATCGCAGGTATCTGCCATAAAAAACAAGGAACCCCGTTAATGAACTCGCCAGGCTGTAGGGAAAATCTGGGACGGGAAATGTTTGCCTTTCTCTTTGAGGCGAGACATTATTAGAGACAAAAGACCACATCCATCCCTTAAACAAGCACAGCTTTAAAACTCCTGTTTGAACAACAGCGCCGTGCAGAAATACTGCGCGCCCACATAAAGAGCGAGACGTTAAACAAGGCGTGTGCTCAAACGTGCATCGGCAGACGTGCTCAAAAAAAAAAAAAAAAAAAAGGCAGCCGCGGACTGGTTTTGCTATCAGATCCTCTTTTTTGGCTTCTCTGGTCTGAAGCGACGAGGAAATTTGCAGGTCCTGCCGGGCATAATGACCATGGTGCTAACTGGGTTTTAAAGGGATCCACGATCAGTTGTAACATTAGACTTTATTTGATAAACATTTATTTTAACTGTAAAATAAAGACAGTAAAAATACT